TGTATATTAATATTGAGCTAAATTAGGTTCAGTCCTCCACAGCAGTCCCAGTTTCTCATGCGGCCCCTTGAGAATATCAATTGTCTAGCGTATAGCTGGGGCGGAAGATTTATAAACTGCAATATTTTAGCTGGTGAAGAATTCCTTTTTAAAGCCGAACTCAGGAATTACACCTCCTGCCCCCCTCAGTGCTTCCCCCTAGAATGGCCACCATCTGAGCAAAAAAAAACCTCCAATGGGATTCCTAATAAATACCCTTTGCTGAGTCTGGTACACCTGCTTTATACTGTTACATGTTTCTCACTCATATTGCAGAACCTAAAAAGTGTATTTTAAATTGCTGCTTGCGTGTGACTTGCTCTTTTCTGAAAGGCGCTGTGTAATACAATGTCATTGGCCACCACCCCTGCAGCTGTTTGCCGGCCATTGCTGACTGTGTCGGGGTGGGATCGTCTGGAGATAATCGCACAGGTCGCAATTACCTGCGGACGATCGCACCTGGACGCGGTCTGCAATTGGCTACGGACACCTGCGGGTGGTGGCAGCTGATATTGTATTACACAGAATCTCCCAGCCGCAGCAGGAGGAGTCAGACGGGGAAGTTAGTGAGACTCATGCGATGGGCCTCATCCGCAGATGTAAATGGCAGCTTATTGTGCACTGTGCCCCCTCCTCCACTATTGCCTGCTCTGAATTCTGATTATTTATACGGATATGACATCATGTACTTCAGAGGGACTTTAAAGGGAATCTATCAGAATGGAAAAATAGGAACTGCCCCAGGTGAAGCAATTAGAGCAAAACAAACGACAAACGCACTCAACAATTTGTCACCAGTTATACAGTAAGGTGCAACGAAATGGGCTTTGAACAGTCAAACAGTAGAAAGGCATCATGACACACTGACAAACCTGCACCCAATTTGAAATCTTCTGCCCCCATGTGCTCCAAGATGGAGACTCTCATAGTTTAGAGTTAGGACCGCACTATAAGAGGTGCCTTGGTGCGGCTGTGCGGCTTACACATCCTTTGCAGAAGACGTGTATCCAAACCTCTGTTATTATCCTTAGTGGTGAGACAAGTTGTTTTACATGCTGGTTTGTGAGTGTGCCATGATGCCTTTCTACTGTTTGACTGTTCAAAGCCCATTTCGTTGCACCTTACTGTATAACTGGTGACAAATTGTTGAGTGCGTTTGTCGTTTGTTTTGCTTGACCGATTTGGTGCAGCGACGCATGGGGTTTCTCAGCTGCCATTGGGATGTGTCTTGATCCCTTGTGTGTTTCTGTGCTTTTAAGGAGGTTGGGCGTCCTCCTGACAAACCTGCACCCAATTTGAAATCTTCTGCCCCCATGTGCTCCAAGATGGAGACTCTCATAGTTTAGAGTTAGGACTGCACTATAAGAGGTGCCTTGGCGCGGCAGTGCGGCTTTCACATCCTCTGTAGAAGACGTGTATCCAAACCTCTGTTATTATCCTTAGTGGTGAGACAAGTTGTTTTACATGCTGGTTTGTGAGTGTGCCATGATGCCTTTCTACTGTTTTACTGAAGCAATTAGAGATCACCGGATATCTGACAGTCGCTGGCCCGTCCACTGCCTGACTGCTTGATGTGAGCCTTTCTGAATGTAGGATGTGAAGAGGGAACTCTGATGTAAAAAGGGGGATTCCAAAATGAAACGGGGGCTCCTGAGTTGAAAGGGGGGGGG